TTTGCCTCCTGTGTTCAAGGCTCAGGCAGTCAATGAGCAGAACTGTCACAACTTYGGCTTTTTATTAACACTGTCAGGCTTGAAAGGAAGGAGATTTGTTGATATGTGCAATGAGGATTGCTGAAATGTGCCATGGCCGTGAAATGAAAAACAGTCAAAACAAGGAAATATCTTTTGAAAAGGAACATTTTCTTTTTCTTCCTTAAGTCTTGTGCCTCCAAAACTCAATTAAATTTAACTGTTCAGATCTCCTGCTCCCTCAGAGAAGATGACTAAGGGTTTTGGACTTGAGTATTTCAGTGCAGAATCACCCTTTGCATTTAATATCAGCTCCAGAGAACTCAGGAGGCAGAATTTGACCCACAACCTATTTAGGTTCCATCCTCTTGGAACATGGTATAGATTGATACCACCATTGCCATATTTTCCCTGAATGATGTTTAATTTTTTGAGAAGAAGTGCTATGTCAAGGGGTATAAATTTCATTTGTTCAGAAGTTCTGTGAAGAAAAATAATATTAAAAAAAAAATAGGCAGGTATTATCATCTTCAGCAGAAAAGTATTGCAAAGGCAAAGACCATAACCTGACACCAATTAGTGAGTAATAAACTGGCAGTTTAAAAAAAAAAATACATGAATTAGAGCTGAGCTCAAGCTGGGCATGAGAAAAGATGGTGACCAAAAATAAATGAACTGGGGTCAAAACTCAACAACCTGTCAGTGTTCATTTTAATTCCATCTTCGTTTCGTGATGAAAAAGGCTTATTACAAAATACAGCTGGAGCCAATCCCAATTTATCTTCACAATATTCAATTAGGGTTTGCTGCAGCTCCTGCTGAGCTCAGTGAAATTTGGGGTCAGTGGGAGATGGATGAGCCCACGGAGCAGCTCAGCTGAAAAGGAGCAGCTCAACTCCAGAAAAAAAATAAATGTGGTGTCTCCTGGTGCTCCTGGGACATCCGAGGATCAAGGGGCTTGAAAATGAAAGGTGAAAATAATCCCAAACAGGCAGGTGGTTGCAGAGTGCCAAGAAAAAGCTCAACCCCAAAAAAGCTGTATTTCATCATGGTGACAGAATGATTGTCACCAGGAGAACAGCACARGAGCCTTCCCTTTCAAACTTCTACACTCACCACAGAAAGAAAATCTCACAGAACATCCAATCTACTTTTGATTCTTCTCATGATGAAAAAAAAAAGAAATTAAAAAAAAAAAAAAAGATGTTTTTAAAAAGCCAGGCAAACCCAAGCAGTTTCCTGGTGAAACAAGCAGGTAATTCTGTGGCTGTTTTGTTTTTTGTTTTTTTTATTTAATGAGAAAAACAGGAGAAATGGGCGAATAAAATGAGGGTTCTGAAAGGTTTGTAACATAATGAGAATGCATGAACATTTCTAAACTCTAGTAGTTCATTGTAAAATTGTCCAGATTTGACTGTGGGGATGTTTTCCTTCTGCAGAGATTTCCCTGGATGAATTCATGGGGTTTGCTACACCACAGCAATCCATGAATCTTCAGTAAGAAGTCTCAGGGATGGTGGGGAAAACTTAATAATTCCAAAGAGTTTTGGACCCCATCCTGAATGTCACCTGACATGGTATCCTTGACTCTTTTTCAGCACCCCAAAAATACATGTGTATGTGTAGAGCATATGCTCTTCTGTCAAATAACACAGATTTTGTTACTGCAGAAGGATCTGCGTTACAAGCAGGAAATAAACTTATTCCAACACATAATTTTTTTAAGTATCATGGTGGCATTTCTTATTGAAGAATTGTGCAGGATGTGGCTGCAGCCCAGAGAGGAGAATTATGTCAAACTCAGGATTGAGCAAGTGAAGGATGGACATTTAATGGACATTAAATTGAGAGGGGCTACTCCTGAACTGCTCTGAAACTCCTTTAATTTTGCTGTCCTRCTTGACAAGACTGTACAAAACACGTTTGACATCTCTCCTTAGACAGTTCATGCAAATGGTCATTTTTCCACCCTGARGGTGTCAGGTTTAAAGTGCTCTGAGGTGAAACCAAATCACTGCTCTGACAGTCCCTGGGCCCAGCATTCACTCCCCCAATAAAAATGTCATTCCCAATATCAGTCTCTGAAAGAAGAAGTTGTTTTCTGGAAGCAAAACCATTGGAATTCATCCTCTGCAAAGGCCTAAGTCAACACTCAATTTCTGTGCTCGTGATGAAGTCAAAAAGCATTGATGGCACACTACAAARCCACCCTGCCCTTTAACAGAGTTCAGCTCCACTATAAATCCCTTTAAAATAGATTTTTTTTAAAAAAAAAAAAGTGGAGAGGAAAGAAGTTCTGTTTGTAAGGTGTGGGAAGCAAAGCTATTTTAGGCTCAGAACAGCTTATGAAAGTCGAWTTTATATGGCAGCAGCTCAGATGATCTCCCTATTTATCCTAAAAAAATGCTGGGCTGAGGTTTTGGCTCAGCCAGTTTTAGGCATTTGTGAACTCTCACCAAAGTGGTGAGTACATAAAGGAATTATTCCTAATTGTCACTTGAGCTGCCAGTCACAGATCCATCATTTCTGGAAACTTCTTTCAGGCAGCTGAAGGGGAAAAGCAGAACTGMAAATGCCCAAATGTGACCAAACCATCAGGAGCACCTCCTTCCCACTGATTGAAAGTACTTTGGATTTCTATCATCTGGCATGAATATTGCAGTTTCTGGGGGCTTGAGAATCACACAATTTGGTTCATTTTATTATTTTTTTTTAGAAGGAAAATGGGCTGTGAGATCCATGGGCATTCTCTGTGGGAGAAGATGCAGAGTCACACAATGTTCAGTGCCACAGGAATCAATCTGGGCCTCCCTCATCTCCATCTTCTTTCTCTGGAGCATTTTATTTTGAAGGCAGGACATGAACATCTATCTCTGAACCTCCATGGAGTGAATTTATCTTTCCTTTAATTTTGTACTGCTGATTTCAAGTTAACTTCCAGAATTTTTTCTTTTTTTTCTGCTGCTACTTTTTGATCTGTGCAGACAATCTAAATTATTCCAGGCATGGCAATTSTTACATCTTAAAACATCTTAAATTGTTACATCTAAAAACATCTTAAAGCCCCTCCCTTGGATCTGTTTGCAATAATTTGTGCTTTGTGTCTTGTTATCCAAAAATGAAGATTAGTTCTATTTAGTCTCAGAAAAACAAACAAGCCTTGGACATGAAGGGTATTTATATGTGGGTATTTTTCTCWAATTTCTCAGTATTTAATTTTTAAGTTTGAATTTGAACATATGAACTTGGAGACTGCCTTAMGAATCCTTAAAAGTTCACGTTGAAAAGCTCTGAACTCTAAAATGTTCTGCCTCAAATTTCAAAAGGCAACCTTCCAAAATCAGAAAAATCATTGGTGATGATGGAAGAATTCAAACCAGAAGCAACTGGTGGAATCTAACCATTAAATATAACTAGTTTAAAAAATTCTCACATAAAACACTGTGCCATTTTCATCCTTATATACACTAATTAGACAGTTTGTATTTATCAATAAGGACTTCAGCAATATCTGACCTACAATCAATAGAGAATTTTATCCATTTTCTCCACAATACTCATTTACAGCTCCACACAGAGATTTATACACTAAATACAGAAACCCAAGGAAAAAAATCACTGAAAAGTTTTCATTTTGGTTTTCACCATACTACAGCTTGGCTGCTGTTGTCTTACAAGAAGAAAACCTGAGAATGCCTGTAGAGAAAGTTGCTGTGACATTAAATAGAATAGGAATTCGCTGAGTCTAAAAAAAAAAAAATACATCTGTTTGAAAAAGGGCAGCCGGCGGCGCTTTTTAAAGTAAAAAATGTGAGGTTCTGAGATTAAAATAACAAACAGGAAGTCGTTTTATACTTAGAAATGTGGATTAGAGATTTTTGCAAGTCATATTTTAGCAGGTACTTTCAACATCTTTACTGGAAGCTGTAATTTAAGCTCTGCCAGCTGCTTTTTGGCACACGCTCCCATTTGAGCAGGAAAGCTTCCAGTGGACAATTGACCTCTGAGATTTCAAAATTTGTGCCATCAACCCCCTCGTGGACACTGTACCCATCACCAGGGGAAAATTCTCCTCAAYCCTGATGGGTTAAGGAGGAAGAATTTAAATGATAACACAATAATGGCAGCTTTGGTTTGATTAGCAGGGATTCAGTATAAAAAATGAAAAAACCCAGTTTCTCAAAGGCCTGCCTCTTCCTCATTCTAAAATCCTTTTCCATGTGAAATTGGTCCACGGAAGAAAACATACAGATATTTTATTCTGTGCTAACAAGGCTTGTTTACACCCTAACAAAATGTAAGAGTTGAGAATGAAGTGCTGTTATATTAAAAAAAAAAAATATTATGGTGCTTCTAATTTGAGTCAGATTATTTTGTAGGGGAAAATATTAGAAAGTTCTCACTTAGTCTTYGGGGTGCCCGTGCCAAAACTCTAACAAAAAATTACTTTTAAATGCTGCAGCTTCTCAAACTCAAAACACCACACACTGACTTCGTTATCCTCACTTTGTTGGTGGTTTCTGTTTGGTTTTGGTTGCTTGGTTGGTAGATTTTATTGGTTTTTTTTTAAATTTTTTTATTTTGTCATTACTTTCTTCCACGTGTAGGGAAATTTTATGATGATATTGGTGACCTCCTTTACAACCATCTTTGCCTGTGCATGGAAAATATGGGTGCTTATCATTTGTGATGCTCCCAGAGGAAATTTCTCCYTGAATCCACCACCCCTGGCAGAGCAGAAAAAGCAGCAGAGCCCCTGCCCAGGGGTTACAGCCCCCAGGACGTGCCAGCACCAGCTGAACCAGGCWCAAAACGCCTCCAGCCTCCAAGTCTCGGGGTCAATTGTCTCCACTCCAAGCTGCTTTTTTTTCTCTATTTTTTTTTTCTTGGGGAAGCGTGGAAATGTGCCAAAAAAGTATCTGGCAAGGCTTAAATGAACAGCAGCTCGTTTACTAGCAGCCTGGAGTTTCCTCAGACAATGAGGATTTTACAGCTCTGCCCAGAAAGTGGTGGAACTCTTTTGGGGAGCATCAGGTATGGGGTGATGGAGAAAGCCCAGGAGCTCTGGGACCTCACAGAGGAGCCTCTCACCCTGCTCTGCTGGTCCTGAGAGAGATTTACCCCCCGGGATAAACTGGGATCACCTCCCTGCAGCTCCCCAGCAGGGCAGGGATGCAGGGAACATCAGGGTGCAGCTCCATCCACAGCAAATTGTGCTGGAACTCGGGGGATGGTCTTGATGAAGGGTCAGGAAAAGCTCAGGAAGGAGAAAGAACCAAGCTGAGATGGAAAGGTGAATCAGGAGGCACCTCAGGGGTGCTGAAGTGGAGCAGGAGAGCTGSTGATGGAGGATTTGGCCAGAACTGACAGGTGGTCAGAAGCTCTGGACAAGCACAGTCCATTTTACATTTTTAAATCCTGTAAGGAAATGTTTGTCACACAGGTGATAGCTACACACATCTCTGAGAAATGTCAGGATGACATTGTGGTGGATCTGTCCAATTTGATCTCTCCAATTTGATATCTCCAGGCTGATTTTAGGGGAGTAGGGAGCGATAATGCTCATGATATCAAAGTTTTAATCTACTCAATGAAACCCCATTTTGTTCTTTAATAGCAATATGTGCATATAGACTATTAACTCTTCTGCAATTAATTGCAAGGGTTTTGCAGACTGTTTTCTGATGCCATTTAGCCCCTCACTATCCCCAAGCCTAAAAAGTGCAGAAAGCTTTCCTGAAGGTGTTGAGYGAGGACAAATTATTTTTGAAGAGGATTAATCTATAACTCCCGTGTTTGCGGGCCTGATTCAAAGCCAGAGAGCTCATTTAGCTCCCGATGGGTCCCAAGCCAATTATTTTAAAACTAAATTTTAACGCTGTTCTATAAATATTGCCCTTTTATTTTCTGGCCCTGTGGATGTGGCAGTGTTTGCTGTCTGATAGGAGCAGTGAGTCAGACGGATTTCCTGAGCAGCAGCTTCCAGTGTGTGAGGTTTCTCAATTCCCAACAATACCAATTAGAAAATCTCCTGACACAAACAGACTGCTAAAAAAAAAAAACTTTCACTAAAATAACTCCGTGCCTCCTGCCTGGATTTAAAATAAATCACCTTCTTCTTTAAATATGCCAAAGCAAACTCATGTGGGCATCTGAAGAGCAAAGCTGCTAATGAGCAAGGCTGTCCTGCCCAAAAACTGTGGATGCATGAGATGTGTGTAGGAACTTGCAGCAAAACTACAAAAGGGGGAGTTTCTTATGGGATAGAAATGATTAGAGGTGAATAGTTTATGATTTGGAGGGCAGGTTCAGAAAGAAGCTTCTTTTCAAAGACTTGCTGATTAAACCACTGCACGCTCCTGTAAACATTTTGTGGTCTARCAGATCACTTTACACTTAGAATAATCCTTGCTTTATTAATACGCTGCATTGTTCTTATATTTGGATCTAATTTTAAAAGCAAATTAAGGTTTCGAAGATGAAACTCGCTGCCTGAGGCTGTATCTCAATTTGTGGAAAAAAAAAACCAACACCAAAAACAAACAACACATAGGCTAAGCTAACTGATTAAAGAAAATATTTTCTTTCTGGTTATCTGAACCCTCAGGTGCATTCCAGCATGGCTCTGCCAAAGGCTGCACACCTCCAGGTGTGGTTAGGGCTCTGAAGATAATGCCATTTGCTTGGTTTTGATACCATTTTCCTCCTTGGAATGGACAAATAAGCTAGGATGTAACACATACCAAATTAAAAATGATGAACAAATAACACAAACAAAGTAATGAAACCAATCCTGTGAAATCCAGTTTGAGAAAAAAGTGAGACAGACCCAGAGCACGTGGCTGGCTCAAGCTCTCTGCCAAAGCTCACAGTTTTATTCTGTAGCTTCAAAATAAATATTAAACATACTTACATCCACCTCTCCTTGGTCAATCACGTAGAAGTTGTCTCCCTCATCACCTGGAARCAAAATACAGAAGGTGATTGTTTCCTGAAGGTCTGCCAAGCTGTTCAACAACTCCCTGTCCCTCTRTTTAATCCTGTACATATTTGCACAGGTTTGCACTCCAGATTACTTAAAGAGAGATTAATCTTCTGAAACATCCTCCTCATTTGCCTCCATAAATAAAAGTATCACTGTGATTTCCTGCTATTAATATCTGCCAATTGCATTAATTTATCGGTTTTGATTGATTCAGTACTCCATTCAGGGTAAATCTGCCAATTGCATTAATTTATCAGATTTGATTGATTCAGTACTCCATTCAGGTAAACACTCCAGAGGTGTTAACACAGCCTGAGGGTAATGAAGTTCCCCAAAAGGTGAGCAGCCAAGAGTGGTAACTGTGAGACAGCACAGCGAGGTGTTGGATAGTCCCAACAACCATAAAAATATTTTCCATCTCTAAGTATCCTCAGCTTGCCTGTGCCACCCTTACCCATCCTGAGCTGGGGTTTTGCTTCCTGGCTACTTTCAGTTAAGAAATGAGCATTTTAATTTGAAGTGCTGCTTCTGGAGATCCACCAGAGTGGTTTTGTTGGGGTTTTCTGCATGTGTAGCAAGAGACCCCAATCCCTGACCCCATCACCCAACTGCACTCCTGGAGCCTTTGGGATCTGGTTCTTCTTCCCATTGAGCACAGAGGGTGAAATCTCCAATGGAGAGATGTGAATTACAAACACACAGGAGGAAAGATGACAGGAAGAATTACCCTGCTGTATGACTGTTTCTCCTGCGATGTGTGTGACGGGGAACATGGCATCGAATATGTCACTGGGGAAAAAAAAAAACAAACAAGAAACTTTTATTAATAAGCCAGGCTCATTTCTTATCTAGCCAGTAGACCTACCTTCATTGTTTATTTAGCCTTTGTTAACAGATTTTGCAGAAAAAGGAAAGGAAAACATTAGCTGGGACTGGAAAGTGAACCCCTGCTCGGCAAGAAATCAAAATAACTTGTTAGGCACYGACTGTGGTTTAAAACTAAACAAGACCATGACTTGGTGTGTGGAGAAGCACTGCACAAACTGGCCAGGCAGCAGASAGATTTCAGATTCTCAGCTGTGATGGGTTTGTGGCTGCCAGATGCCTGAACAGGAGCTCTCCTCTCCGAACATCTGGCCTTGTGTTCACAAGCACAACCCTTTCCCCAGCACAGAGCACATTTGGAAAGGTAGTTCTGGCTCTGAATTAATGCAGCACAAGAGCTGCCAGGAGAGCACAGCRCAGAAGAGGCCAAACCCTGAGAATCTCAGCGAGTTCCTGGTGAGAAGGGAGCAGGACAGATGCTGCAGAGAGCAGGAATAGYGCTGAGCTCGTTAATCACAAACTCAATTCCACACCTTGCCACGTCTCCAGCTCGCTGTCACATCGCCTTAAAAGGCCAGGCAGAGCAGCAGGGATGGGAACACACCCTGCACCAACATTTTGGGCACCGTGCCCAAAGCCAGCCCTTTGTTTATTGAGGGAGACAGCAGGCGCCCTGGAGCCAGGGCTTCCTCTCCCCACATCAGATTTTTGGGGGAACTTATTTTGGGCAGTGTGAACAGCGTGGAGACGGGCGCTCCCCACCTCTCTTCCCCTTCCTATGCATCAGCMTCAAGGGCTAAAGGAAATGGTTCCCTGACAAAAACAAAAGGCAGCAAGAGGGGATTGTTCCCTGCTCTGTTCCCTGCTCTGCTCAAGAATGGTCCAGGCAGGGACCACTGATGGCAGCTGTGAGATGAAATTCAGTTTGGAGTGGAGAAAAAGACCTCACAAACCCAACAACACAAACAGGGAAGAAACCTAAAATCTGCATCAAAATAGGCACACGAGATCAGCCACCAAACCCATGAAACCTATGCTACATTTCAAGGCCTTATATGGATGGGAAAGGCATATTGTAAAATCCCATTATTAGCTTATTTCCTGTTCAACTGTTCCAGACTTTACTCAGGCCCAGTTCTAGGAAATGTTTCACTCCTGAGTTCAAATTGCTCATGTCTTTCCTCTTCATCAGTCTGAATGTTTTTGCTCAGGATCTCAGCTCTGCGTCAGCCCCGCTGGTCGGAGAACTGAGGGATTTCAAAGCAGGCAGCACCTGCGAGGGATGCCCAGCCCAWGGCCTATATATAACAAAATTATACATTTTACTGCTGTTTTTTTCAACAGATCCACTCTGTGCTATTCCCACTCACACTCAGGAAACACCTCCACCATGGACACAAACGCTGCTCCACGGAGAAACTTCTTCCTCACCRGTGCAAAGACCGAAAATAAACTCTTGGAAAAGTCTGCAAACCTTATCCTTCAATCCACTGAGCTCATTTTTGTGATCTTACACAGGTTCAGCATTTCTCCACTTTGAGGGACTTCTCTGCTGGTACAGAGAAATCTCTGGGGCTGGTCCTTGTGCCAATGCTCCTCTGGAGCTGGGAGATGAGGCTGCAGTGGGATGGGGATGCTGCCACACCCATGGATGCTGAATTGGAGCAGCCACCGAGGGGTTTTGTGTCCTCCAGGAAGCTCCAGCCACTCCTCAGCAGCTCTGGGATAGGAATTCAGCATGGCAGAGGATCATTTTCCTCCCCGTGGTTTCTCCTTGGCTGTGCCAGGGCACCTCACGGAGCTCTGAGAGCAKTTCTGCAGAGCATTTCTGAGGCAGAGCCATCAATGTGATATATCCAAAAATAGCTAMAACACAGCGAATATCAATAACCAAACCAAAATGTGCTGTTTGAGCAAACTTGGAAACTTTTTCCTTTTTTTTTTTAATAGAAATACAGAGGAATAAGTATCTGCAGTTTCACCTTTTCATCCTTGTTTTAATCCTCTGCTTTATTTATAACTTAACAATTGACTGTACAAACAGTGCCCAATAAATTATGTATAGCACTGCACCTTTCTCCACAACGTTCCACATTTTATTTCTACATCACCTTTAAGTTTTAGCCAAAAAAAAACCTCTTTAAAACTCACAGACTAAAACTTTCAGCTGACAATGTAATGAACCCAAAGTCTATTAACAGSAACAGCAGATCTACCCTAATGCTCTGCTGTGTAGCAGAATATCAGTGTAGATATTTTAGCACCCCATATATAATGGAGTGAAGTCTTAATTTTATTTCAATGAAGTCTTAATCGTATTAGACCCAGACTTAGATTTTTAAAGAGACCTTTGAAGGATATGTCATCAAAAATGATTCTGAAGTGAATRTGAACTCAGAGACATGCTGATGTTGATTTACAGCTCCAAAGTGAAACCAGGGCACRTCTTTGATATAAATGTAAGCMASMAATAATATCACAACAGTCACTGAAWWCACACCAYCATGTTCCTTTTCTACCAGGGAATTACTGCTYTTAATTGATATGGTCAGGCCGAGATCTCTCCCAGTGATTAATGAGTTGAAGCGTTTCTGCTTTCGGATGCTCAATTTGAGATTCATTAAACACCCTCAGATCTCCAGTGATATGGATCAGCAGGCAGCCTCAAAGTTTCTCAGCCAAGAACTGGGCCTTTTTTTCAGAATGGCACCAAAGAAAACCACCCCTCTAGAAATTATCACCTCCCAAATGCTCAAGGGCTCTCTATGAAATCTGGCTTTTGGTTCAGCTCAGACTAAGTGTAGAATTGTTTTGGATATTTTTTGTTATTGTCTTTATCTTCAGTGCCTGAAATGAACACAAAAATGTCACAAGGATCAATACACCAAAATACTTCAAAAATTTGAAGTTTTTGTTCCTGAACCAAAATCTGAAACTGCAAAAAAAAAAAAACCCAGACCTATTTTCCATCTCCCCATAAAGGTCTGATGTTGCACATTGAGTTCAAGCCATGTGTTCCTGCACCATGCAGAGAACACAAGCTTTAAATACTGAATAAGTTAAGTGGTGCTTGCTAAAGGCATAAACAATACAGCCAAGGCCAGAAATACGGTCTGATGTTTTTTCCTGTACCACGCACTTGTTTATAAGACATCCAAAATCATTCCCTGGCCATTACAGCACAAAAAAAAAAACCAGCCCTTAAAACATCACTGCTGCAACCATCCCACCACCAAGCAGAGCTCTGCAAAACTAGATATATTTCTAGGGTTTGAAAGGTTTTTTTTTTAAATAATATATCCAAACACACGCAAACACATTTCCAACCATAATTTTTTTTTTTTTTCCAAGAGCGAGCAGGTTTTATTCCAGCGCAAACAGAAAGCCAGGAAATCAGTAGTTAAGCCTTCAAATGTTCAACTACCATGATTTCATCTTCTGTCTGACTGCAGCAGCAAGAACACAGCAGCCTCTGTCTCCTGCCYTGCACTGTTGACACCGACCAATGCTGCACAACTGATATGGGAATGGTTTGATTTTCCGCCAGGATTTTTATGATTCTGCTGGAAATGAGAGCTGCTCAGAGGGATTTCTTTATTTTCTTGACAATGTATGGTTTGCCCTCTTTCCAGGTGACTTATTCAGGTGATGGATGAAGGAAATGGGGCACCAGTTTTGGCTTTGGAGTTGTTGTTTCATGAGGATGAAACCAAGAGAGCTGTGCTACACCTGCCCCTGGCTCAGCATCCAACTTGGRGGGCTCTTCCTCAGCCTCTCCAGACCCAAAGGTTTTGACAGGCTTTGCAATTTTTTTAAAATTTTAAAATCTTCTTTCCCAGAAGATCAATATCTGGTGGCTCTTGGGAGTCAAGCATTTGYTCTGACCAGGAGGAGATTTTTTGGCTCGGGAGTGGAGCTGCAGGTGGGACTGTGTGTACCTGAATATCCACGTTTAGATCCAGAGAAGGACTCCAACAGGACATCATTCACATTTTCCAGGGGCATTTCTGCACCTTTAATAGTTTGCTACCATTCAATAGCATCATTGAAAACCAAATCACAAGGAAAGCAGCAGAGAACATGCAGGGAGCAGTGAACTAACCCAACAGAGTGAAACCAAGAAACGCGTCTGGACATGAAATCTCTGTCTATTCAATCAAAAAATACCAGCTGTCTGCTTAGGGAAAATCAAAATTTAGAATTTTCTTTCTTAAAAGGTCAAAGATATCAAAGGGTTGCAGGAAGTTTTAACACATAAAAATACAGTTTAAATGGAATTGCAAACAACTGCAATCAGATCTGGAATCACAGGGGCTGATCCTSTGCTGTCTGACATCTCTGATGACTCCTGGCCACCTTCAGCCAATTCCCTTCTCCCTTGWGTGCAAACTGCACYCAAACCAATGAGACTGCAGCCATTYAGACCAGAAAAAAAATCTATCACAGTGATTGCAGAATAAATATATAATGAAACACTTCGTGGTTTAATTCAGTGGCATTTTATGGACCCCATTTGCCAAAAAGTGAATGCCTGTGCTAAGAGGGAGCCAGTGGAGAAGGCAGGGCCAAGGGGTTCTCTTTCTCACGAGAAAAAAGTGAGTGATAAAAAATAAATCATCTCATCTGCTTTTACACCGAGGCCTCTTGGAGTCCACATAGAATAGAAGATAGGAAAAAAAAATGATGTGCACTGTGGGTAATATAGCACTGGCAATAGGCAACTGGGAAGAGGATTGTTAAAACAAAACGAGAGAAAGAGAATTCCAAGCACTTTCAGAACCAGACCATGGCAATGGCCAAAATAGGGAAACTATGTAAGACAATTTATCAGTTTCACAATCAGATTTCTTTCCAGCCCTAGCTGTGCTGAATGCATTGCAGGGAAGGGAAAAATGGAAGAGACAAAACGTATATGTGTTAGGCAAAAATGGAAAATCCTCACAGTACCTGCAGGTTAAAATATG